CTGGTTGAAACGGTCACCAAACTTCACACTCTGCAGGCTGCTGGGTAGCTGGATGCCCTCCAAGCTCTGGTTGAAGTCGTTTCCAAACGTCAAACTCTGCAGGCTGCTGGGTAGCTGGATGCCCTCCAAGCTCTGGTTGAAGTCCCAGCCAAACGTCAAGCTTTGCAGGTGGCTGGGTAGTTGGATGCCCTCCAAGCTCTGGTTGAAACGGTGACCAAACTCCAAACTCCGCAGGCTGCTGGGTAGTTGGATGTGGATGCCGTGGTTGAATTCCCATTTGAGTGACATCGTTTCGTTTAGCACAGCCGCATCAGACGGAGTCAGATTCTCCTCGGGTCGGAGCTTCCAAAGCGTCGCGACGACACGACCCGCGCCAAACCTCCGCACCACGTACCAGATCTCGTTGTGCTGGACTTGATGCAGCAGCAGCTGGCACTGATCGATGACACAACCACCGGATGTCAGAATAAGTAACCATGCAGGATGACCAGTTCTAGCTGCGATGCGCTCCACTACGTCCCACCCTCTTTCAGCAGAGTTGACATCCAGTTCAAAGCTGGAACCTGCCAGGCAGTGAATGCTCACGGTCTGCTCGGCCCCGTCCGGACCTGCCTCTGCATGTGGGACGCTCAAGATCTGCTTCATGGTGCCTTCGGACGCATCGGCCATGACGTTGGGGACGCGTTCCTAAAGGCCTTTACAATCAGTGGTTTACATTACATACCCTGAACACAAGATGAATGCACTAAAAACCCTTCAACGTTCTGTAAAGCCCCTTGCCTGTGACAGTGGCAAACCCTTGTAAGGTCCTTGGTTTAATGGCTTAGAGCTTCAGTTGATGAGCCCGCGAAGACACAGCCAACTGAACGTTGAAAGCGTTGGGGGTTTAAGGTTCAGGAGCTTGTGTAGTGTTGTGGCCATGTGCCAGGTGCCGAATATCAGGAAAGCAACTCGACATCCTGATCGGCTGCACACCTGATAACAAGTTGATCCTAGGCTTTAAGCGCGCGATGGTAAATCAACATCTTGCTATGGGCCTTCTGGCTCAGCCAGTAATATAGGGGCCTTACTAATTAGAATAAGGTTTTGGGGGGGATATTATACTACAATGAAAATAAGGAACCCCCAAAATAGTATTGCTAATTACTGAGGCCCCTATACTGTGCGGCTGCATCCTCAGCTCTCAAACCGGAACACGAAGCCCTATCTGCACCCCACACAGCCTTCAGTCATGCCCAAAAAGAAGCTCCTCAATGAGACCCTAAACCCTAATTCCCCTAAACCCTAATTCCCCTAAACCCTAATTCCCCTAAACCCTAATTCCCCTAAACCCTAAACCCCAATTCCCCCAAACCCTAAACCCTAAACCCTAATTCCCCTAAACCCTAATTTCCCTAAACCCTTAAACAAGGAGACGCTTGAGGCATGATAAGGACATCAGGTCCTAGAGCTTCGGCGTTCGCGCTACGGGGCTTCAGGGTTTAGGGTTTAGGGTTTAGGGTTTAGGGTTGCTTCATGGCGTTCATCTGTCGGGCCGCATCCCCAAGCCCTAAACCAAACACCCTTTTAACCCTACCCTGAACCCCTAAACCGCTCTAAACCCTAAGAACCCCTCAACCCACAAGCCCTGTAACCCTTAACCTAAAATCCC